TCCTTCCTTCCTTCCTTCCTTCCTTCCTTCCTTCCTTCCTTCCTTCCTTCCTTCCTTCCCTCCCTCCCCTTTCTCATTCTCCTTCCTGGTATCGCAGTGGCTAGAATGCCATATTGCAGGCTGACGCTGCCCACTGCCAGAGTCCTGACTGGCTCAGGGTTAACTCAGCCTTCCATCCTTCCAAGGTGGGTAAAATGAGGACCCAGATTGTTGGGGGCAATAGGCCGACTCTGTAAACCGCTTAGAGAGGGCTGTGAAAGCACTGTGAAGCGGTATATAAGTCCAAATGTTATTGCTCTCCCTATGGTCATGTTCTCAGAATTCAGATGGTGTCTCGGGGATCCCCTTTTGCAACAAGCAAAATCAACAGGAAAGGTTGATTTGCCTTCTTGGTCTTAATTCAGTTTATTCCTACGGACAGGATAAGGTTTTTATGACTTATCTCAGTGATCGCTAACATTTTTGGTGCCAAGTGCCGAAAGCGTGCATGCACCCATAATGCAATGCGCCCGCGCCCCCCACCCCTGTGTATGCATGTGCAACCCCCTCCATGCATGCATGTGGACCCCCCCTGCGTGCACCCCTGCATGTGCGCCCCTGTCCCCGGCGTGCATGCACGCTCATCTATCCACATGCCCCTTGCTCCCCACACATGCGCGGCGTAAACCTAAAAATTAGCTGGCCAATGGGAGACGCACGTGCATGCAACGGCAGAACTGAGCTTGGATGATGTCTCATGTGCCCGTAGAGGGCGCCACCTGTGGCACGTGTGCAATAGGTTCGCCACCATAGAGTTATCTCAAGGGGCAACGTGAGCATAGCTATTACCCAGGCTTGCTGAACTGGTCATAAAAGATTTCCATCAAAAGCGTCCACGTGATGCCGCCGTTGGCTGAGTATTCCAGGAGAACTCCTTGGTTACGACTGTTGGGGCTGATCAGGCATCCATACATGAAATAAAACTGAATGAATTCCGCCTTGGTGAGGTTGAGATCCACGGTCACGAGCAAACGGCTGCATCCCTTAGAAAAGAAGGGAAAAGATTCTGAACTTAATAACGGCAGCAAGATTGTTGGTGGCGCAGTACTGGAAGAAGGAAGAATTGCCTACTATTCAAGAA